TTTTTCCTGGACTTAGAGCCCAAGTTATTGTGTCTAAGAGACTTGAGAGAAAGGAACACTGAAAGGACCCAGAAGCATCACATATATGACAATGTCTCAAAATCAGACACAACAAGTTACACTGAGGGTCAAAACCCATCAGAGGCTGTCATATTAGATTGAGTATAGGGGTGGACTATGGGAGAAATATGTCACCATGAATGGATAGATCCTAGCTTTTCTCCCTTTATGGAGAGAAAAAAAGGTGTGAGAATGCTCAATAAAACATAAATTAGACATCTGTAAAAGTGAGTGGATTAAAACTGATATGCATCCTGAAACTAAGGTACCAGTAAAAAGTATAAATGCTTACATATAGGAAGTTACTGGATAAAAAACATAAACTTTTAAATTAGGAAGATTTCTGTCCTATGTTTTAGAAAGGTAAGTTCATTTAACTGTCAGTGTCTTTTGTTCTTTCCCAAGGAGGAACATTTTTGTTTGACCAAGATGTCACATAGGGTCAACATGGATCTCAGATTCCTCTGCAGTTTGTAAGCTAAATTGATTCTGGGACCCCCCAGAACACTGAGGTTAGAGATCTTATATCACACCTTTTATTGTTCTGGTTGTAGATTTTATCAAGACATGTATAATAGTAATCAATTTTTTGTGTGTTGTTTACTGAAGCAGCTGTTAAATTAAGTCAGTACATTTAAGTCTGATTAATTTATGTTTATTTTTGCTTTCACAAAACAGCTATGATATAAGTATTGAGGCTGATAATCTGAGAAAAACAAAAAAAGAAATCATATTTTGCATAATTCAAGTAAAAGTTTACTTTTGGTTCTTCCTGATATATGTTATATTTAGAGGAAATGCCTGTAAACACTTACAAAGCAAGATTTTATTTCCTTAATTTTGTTTTTTATCTGAGTACTTTCATGTCTATTATTCTTTACAAAATATAACATAGATGAGCAAAATATCAAAAAAGAAAATGCAAGTATCAAAAATAGCTCCAATATGCAAAACAGGTGATACAAGAAATATGATTGATCTACATTTTAATTGAATGTTGTTCTTCATTTCCCTACATTTTATGCTACAGTTTGGTGGGATATAATAATAGTTACAATTCATTAAATAGAATCTCATATGAGTCAAATAGATGGAAAGGAGGGCATGACTTAAAAAAATCTGTAACACAAATACGACAAAAGCTTAGAGGTAACTCAGCTGTTACAGATGTGCTGCATCTGCCTGCTTGCCCACTGGGGACTGGGAGATAAAGAGATTAAGACATTTACACAAAGATGGCTAGACAACAAGATCAGATAAGCAACAGGACAGCTAGGTTGAGGTACTGTAACCACAGCATGGAGAAAATGACCCACTAAAACAACTCACTCCATTAATAAAAAATATTTTTAGTCCATTCAGTATAGAAATGCTATTTCATCAATGTAGAGAATGTACTGGTTAATTCCAAGATGTCACTGATGTTATCAAATAGAAGCCCATGATCCCTTTTAAACACTTGTTTATTTTTATTTGTTTGAAAAGCACAACAGAGAGAAAAAGAGAGGGAGGAAGAGAGAGAATGAGAGTCAGAGAAAGAGAGATGGTCCACCCTGCACTTCACTCTCCAAATACCTGGTACAGCCAGGGCTGGATCAGACTGAATCCAGGAAGCAGGAACCACATCTGGGTCTCCATATGTGTAACAAGGCCCAGAGTACTTGAGTTACCACCTGCTGCCTCCAAGGGTGGGAGTCAGCAGGAAACTCAATAGGAAGCAGGGGCAGGATTCCATCTAAGGTGCTCCGAGATTGGACCTGAGCATTCTGAGTGGCAGCTGAGCCCACTGTGCCACAGCGCCCACCCCAAAGTGAACGTTTAGTGATGTTTTATTAAATAAACAGTGTTGGAATTCTCTGACACATGAATAGTTTTATTTCCTTTAAAGACAATCTTAAGACAATGATCTCATTTTCACATGACAATAATAGAACAGTTAGTTATCACATGTGAAAAGATTTGATAGGTTCTTGGAGAACATATTTTAGTTTATTTCTTTTAGGCTGAACTCCTACAAGGAATTTTTTGGTTCTATTTTGCCATAGTTTTTTTGCTTACATTAACCTCTGCTGTTTCCATAACGTCTGCCACTGACCTGTTTATACCTGAACACTGTGAATGTGATAGGATACAAAAGTGTACCTGATCCATGTAACCCGCACTTTCCAAAAACAACTTTTAAAAAAATATGGCTTAAAATAAATTCCCTAATAACATAATACTCCATTTTTCAGAGAGATGGATCAGATAAACTAGTATTGCCTATTATATACATATATATTAACATGTGATTTATAATTGAGTACTATTATGAAATGAACCATTGTAAGTTATAGAAGAAATACAAATAAAAAGTTATTTTTTCTTGGTTCTCATGAAAGTTAAACAGGTAACCTAGTCACCCTCAAATAATGACTTGAAGCTAAATATAAATTTAAACTGATAGAAATGGATCATACTCTTCCTAACTCAACAGATTCAATCTCTCCTTTCCATCTAAATTATGGGAATACTTCAAAAAGAGAAGTGCTACTAAATTATCTACTTGTTTCAACATATGTTCACACCTATTCTTGTGATAATATCACTCCCCTTAAAAAAGTCAGAACATCATAAACCTTGGAATTCTCTGATTTACAAAGGGGAAAGTTTGAATCCATCTACATCATCCATGTTCATTGTGAGAGGGAGCCATCAATCACGTGACTGATAGTGTTTCCTCCTCTATGCTGGCTTCTAGCACCTTAAAACTAAACTTTGGGCCATTCCTAACCAAAGGTCAGTGAAGTTTCCTGTATAAATCTCATTCTTGACTGCATCTTATCTCTTTACCCTTTATCTTGATTTCATTGACCTGGTTTTTGTTTACTAATTTTTAAATTAAATAAATTTCGATTGACCAACTTATATGTCTTGCAGAATAAACTTGGTTGAAAGAAATCTGTAAAAATATCTAATGTAATGACCCCCAAAGCCAAAATGATCCAGTCGTGTGGAATAACAGGTGTTTCAGGAAAGGATAAAAACCATCGGTGAGCTCACCTTCTGTACCTTGCCTTAAGACTACAGGTGATTGGTTATGATAAACCTTTCAAGGAAAAACCTCATTGCACAATAAGGAATGCTTTAAAGCTTACACTGTGAGTCTATCGTGTGATATATTTGAAGAGGTTATAAAAGCCATGGTGATTCTCTCTGTGAACCAACTGCCTGACGCAGGAGTAGAGCCAGTGAAGCAGAGAAAAAAGCCCAGAGAAGTGGAATCTCCACACAAATCCCTCAGTTAACACATAAAGAAAATAACCTAATTACTGCAAAGCGGGAACAAGAAAATAAAAAGTATGGAAGGGTAGAGAAGCATTAAATGCGAACACAGACATTTGTCTTCGCGATGGAACAAGAAATCAGCCTAGATCCTGAGGGTAGCCATTAAAAGCAGACTGGGTGTTTGCACAACATCGTGGATGAATGAGAAGCAGCCAAGAGACAGGAAAAAGACCAGTTTTAATTACCAGAAGAGATGTGAGCGAAGGAACACAGAGCTAGCGGTAGACGGCTTCCAGCTACAGGCTGCATGGCACCATACTCTCCTTGCCAATTAGTGCCAGTCAGACCGCGCTGGGGGATTCAAGGGTCCTGGGCGTCAGTGCACGGTCCGGCCAGACTCCAGCACACCTGGGAAACGGACACCAGGCGACAGGGGTGCTCCGAGACTCCCACACAGTTGCATGCACAGACACACAAACGGAGAAGCAGTACGTGGGATTTCCTTCCCGTTCAATGCAGGTGCGAACCACATTCCCCACAGAAACAGATCGCAAAGGAAATGCAATATAATTTACTTAACCAACACTCAAGCACCGTCAGAGGAATCGAGGGAATTGGAGAGTGACTCAAAAGACAGAAAGGAAAAGAAAGTAGCGGGAGGACTGGCAGAACAATGGCACTAAAGCTGCCACACTGTGGATTTACTACCTGTGCTATATTACAGCCTCTGTGATATAAAAATTCAGGGAAAGAGAGGGGCTGCTGTCTGACACTAAGCCGACTCTTCCCTCGGCTTTTTAAGAACTGACAGGAACCACACAAAACACCCGAGAGAAATAAATACCGTAGGCGCCTCTTAGTCCTGAGCTCAAACTCGCAAGTGCGTAAACAAAAGAGAAGCGCTTCCCAGGCAGGACCTGAGAAAATTTCTGCAAAGTGAGAAAGTCCGCTCTCCAGCCCACCTGGGCGAGCGCCTCAGCCGGGGCTGCCGCCGTCCGCGGTGGAAGCCAGAGACTCCGAGAGGGAGCGAGGAGGGAAGGGAGCGACAGCGGCAGGAAGGAGCAGGAGCCGGGGCGACTCGGGCTGCGAGCTCCCGGTGCAGCCTCGAGCCAGCGCCTTGGCAAACGCTTTGTAGTCTGTGAATGTTAAATACCAAGAGGTGGCGAGCCGAGACGCCGGGGAGAGGGGCCGGGCCCTCCGTACTTAGGCGGGAAGGGGTACGCCGGCTGACTAGCGCAGGTGCACAGGGCACCCTTCGGGCGGCACACAGTCCTTTAGAAAAGCCAGGGGAGCTGCTAAATGGACCCTGGCGGCGAGCGGCAGTGAGGCGCGGGGCGCGGGCGACGGCGACCGCGCGGGCGAGCGGGGAGGGGCGAGGGACCGCTCCGGGAGGACACAGCCAGTCAGAGGCGCGGGGCGCGGGGCGCGCGGACGCATTGGAGGAGAACGCTCGAGCCCCGAACGCACCCGCCGGAGGAGGCGCCGCACCTACTTCCCCATATAACCAAGTACAGCGTGGGGGAGCCCAACTGCGAGGAGGCGGCCGCCAAAGTGCCGTTAAAGCTCGGGGCGGAAACGATGCGTTACCTGGGCCCCCTCTTCTGGGAGAGGCAGGGCAAGCTGGAGGATTCCCTCTGAATGATTAAAAACTCCGCAATTCTCTTCCGCCACAGGCTGAGGAGGACCCCAGGAGCCGCTCTCTCGGAACTGTGCCGACGGGCAGGAGGATGGGAGCCAGGGATTGAGAGTCCGAGAGGAAGGACAGGGGAGGCTGGCATCTCATTGGTAAGTGGCTGACATTCCTTCGCCAGTGACTGCTTTTTCTAGGATTGTGCTCTCCGTCTCCCAGCCACTTAGGATTTCTGACACACTCGCCTCTGCAAAGCCATCCTTTCTGGCTGTGTTGGCAGAATGCAAAGACTGTAAGATGAAGCGCGCGCGTGTGTGTGCGTGTGTGTTAAAAAAAAAAAAAAAATACGTGCTATTTGTGTCTGCTGGGATTTTATGTTGAAAAGTTGAAGCCAGAGTAAATGTAACCTATATGCGTGTCACCTAATCCCACCTAAAAGAAGGGTAAGCAGTTCATTCAAATAAATGGGAAGGAGATAAAATGCCCGGATAGGAGAAGCGTGTTCCTACCAAAGAAACTAAATGTTCAGAAACAGAAGATGTTGGTCTCAGGTACCCACTGTGTGTCTGGTGATTGAGCAGTTTGTCTTGGAGAATAGAGACCAGCTAATGGGCATCTGGCAGTGCAGTAACTTGTGAAAATTCAGTGGGGATGTTCTCTAAGTGGAGTTCTACAAAGTTCGGGAGACAGAAAAACAGTGCCTTGCTTTACGCTGTTTTGTTTCTAAATGTTTTATAGGAATGTGATGGATTCCAAAGGAAATGTAAGACTAGGGTCAGACATCCTTCATGTTATTAGAACAAATGGGAAAAATAATAACTTACACATAAATGAAGAAGATGTGCAATGAGCTGAGAATTCCTCTGACAATCTGGGAATTTTTAAGTCATGGTAACTCATTTCATTTTGGAATGGAGAAGGCTCACCTACATCTTTTAGGGTTATTGCATTTTAAATTGTATTACCTCTGCAGTATGGTAAATAAATCTAATGTGGTAACTTAAATTCAGATTTAGAAGTAAGAAACTTTTAAACTGTGTGTATATAACATTTTACCTGCATTCATTTAATTTGTTTCTTAATTTGAGAGAGAAAATCATTGAGAGGACTCATTCTTCTACTTCAGTTCTCAATTTTACCTGTGGAAAAAAGGAAGAGAGAGGAGCTGTTTGTTGGAATACCAGCATTAAAAAAATACAGAACAGTTATAGTGACCCATATTTAAAAATTAGTGGAAGTGTAATGGCTTACTATTGAATTGCAACAGAACTACAGACATACTTATGAACATCACAGTGAGCCTAAAGGAGTTCAGCATGATTAATATTGTGACCTTATATGTGAAATAATTAGTAATGATTAGGTCATTATTTGTTAAGTGCCTGTAGGCACTTCTGAGCAACTCACACATGGTTCTTTGCATATATATTTTATTTTATGTGTAAATTATTATAAATTCTGTGTGGACAAGTATATTGAGTTAAAAATTTGACCAACATATATTTTCTGTGACTCAGATAGAAAAATCAACATGCCTATGTAAGGATAGTCAAAGAAAAGGAGTTTTTTTTTTTTTTTTTTAAAGGATGTTACATGCAGCAACTAAGTCTAGTTAAGGAAACCAAGAATAAATTCATAGTTAAAAGTTTAAGAGAGAAAATGTTGTATAAAAAGAATTTGAAAGCAACTTATCCTGAAAGTAAGAAGATAGTATTGAAACATGTTTGAAAATAGAAAGTGAGATGTTGATTACAGTATAAGTACCAACATTTTTCAGCAGGGATTAGTGGAACCCTTAACTTGTTCTTACTTTAAACTTCTGAAAAGTGAGGAATGGAGAAATAAATTGCTAATTTAAATTTCTCTTTGATTTTATAGACAACTAAATAAAGTATTAGAATTATTGAAAGTTAGGAAAAAGACATTACCACAATATGTTAACTGAATGCCAGTATTTACAAACACACCAGAGTACTTTCAGAAACACATCTGAAAAGCTACAGTGTGGAACTTTTAAAAAGATGGGTGAAATAGCACATTCCCAACGGTGAGCAGCACTTCAGCGATTAACTGACTTGGAACCTAAGAGTCCCGAGACTATTCAGTTAGAGACATCAAGTTAAATCACGAACATCTAATTGGATATGTTACGCAATGAGAATAATTCAAAAGTATTGCTTGTGAAAATTTGTTTCATTTTGTATGTCCTATTAAGTAAGACTATTAGAAATGTGTTGAGTTTGGTGACTATCTATTTCTTTAAACTTCTTTTTTTCTTGAGAGTTAGGAAACCTTCATTGCCTTTAAGACAGAGGTGAAAGTGGTGTGCTTTCAAAACTGACTTAGCAGCAAGGACCAGAGGGTGTCAGTGCAGGGCAGAGGGCTCCCCAGATGAAGAAGGGAGGAAGACCTTAAACTAGCCAGGGTTTTTTGGAGTTTGTCTCACTCTAGACAAAATGGAAGGAATATTTTTGATTAAAATGAAGGCGATGAAAATTCGTCTTACTGAATAAGCAGTGTAAAGATAATTCGACCCTATATAAGTTTGCTTCGCTAAAATAAAGTTTTATAGCAGTCTTGTGAATCCCTCCCTCCCTCATCAAAAACTAATCTAGAGTCTTATGAGGCTGAGAAATTTTAATTATCATGATTTGTTGAATTCATGGTACCACACATATTTTGATGAACTAATCTTTAATGATCATGTGTGTATATATATATATAAATTTTACTCACAGGTTGGAAGTTTATTTCTCTTGATTTAAATAGACCCATATATTTATGTTATTTAGCCTCTTGAAATTCTAATTTCAGCCCCTTAGATTTATTCATCTCTCTTTTATTGCTGAAGATATAAGCATTAAATAAGAGAGAGCTGTGTGTTTCTGACATGATATTTTTGTTTATTAGTGTTAGAAGGCTGTGCTAATATGTTGTATGAACTTCTTAGCACTTTATAGCAGGAAAGAGACTAGTCGGAAGCTCAAAGCAGTAGATCGCTGCAGAATTCTATTTTCTGAATATTTTTGATCAATAACTCTACATTAGACGCAGGTGCATTTTAAAAAGTAATGAACTATATAAAACCCCTTACTCTTAGCATTTGTGAATAAAAACTGTTATGAACAATGTCCCATCTCCTCCCTACCCATCTCTTTTCTATTGTGTTCTGCCATTTTATGATTTTTGGACATTCAAGGGTATATTGTTAGAATGGTTCTCATAAATATTATCAGGTTTTTTTTTTTTCCCAAGACTCTTTAGCAGGTTTTTAAATTAATCTTTTTCATTGGGATTCAATACAGCAAATTGCAGTGCTTCAATATGGTGGCTATGTGAAAAAATTTAAATAGCTTTATTATGTATATATGTATATATATACTTTTAAAAGAATTTTTAATAATTAAGTTATTTCATCAAAGTTATTTTGCATTAACAAATTAAATCCCATGACATACCATAAGACTATTGATACAACTTGAGTTATTCTTTACCTATTAGAAATAGATACATAAGCTATATGGAGTGCATTTCCATCTATATCAACCCCCATAACTAAAATACTCATCTTTAATTTCATTCCAGAGTTCTATGTATCCATGTTTGATATTATAGCCTCCTTATACATCAGCCTGTGAGACGTAGAAGCTAGTCAAAGTAGGGAGGCTCCTCTTGTCTCTAATGCAAGGAAATGGACCTCTCCAAAAAGGCTATATAATAAATTTGAAAAATAAAAAAAGCATAACTGTTTTATAGAAGTTAAAGCCATAAAACCTACTTTTTCTTCATCTAAAATGTATTAGTGCAAGATTTTTTTAAAAAATATTTGTTTGTTTTGAAAGTTAGAATTACAGAGGGAGAGGAAGAGACAATAGGGAGAGATCCACCATCTGCTTGTCCTCTCCCCAGATGGCTACAATGACCATGGGTGGACCAGACTGGAACCAGGAGCCAGGAGTGTCATCCTGGTCTCCCATATAGGTACAGGGGTCCTTGGGCCATCTTCTGCTACTTTCCCCAGATCGTTAGCAAGAAGCTGGATTGGAAGTGGAGCAGCAGGGACATGAAATAGCTTCCATGTTGGATGTTGGTGTCACAGGTGGCTGCTTTGCCTGCATTGGCACAACACTGGCCCCTAGACTTAATCTTTAGAGATCGCAGCCATCTTCTTTTCCAAAGTGTTCCTTAAGCTGGAATTCCTTTTGATCACTGTTATTTTGAAGCAGTTCCAAAAAGTGCTTCGTTACGTGAATTTGACCACATAGGTATAAAACTTGACATTTTTCCCTATTTTACTCAGTGTCATATTAATAATTTATGATGACCTAAAGAAACTGATATCCTGTGGCTACCACCTCTATTTATTTTCTCACAAGTGGCTTTCAACAGATCTGACATGACTCCCATATAACTTCTATGCCAGTCATGGTTCTAAGTAGTTAACATTTCAAATTGCAAAGACCCAAAATTTGAGATCTTGCTAGAAAGGAAGGAGCCATGTAATTGTATGTGCTTTTCACAAATTACAGCATTATAGGTGCTGTGTTTACTAGAAAAAGGGCATTTCTGAAAGTTTAATGTAGCAAATGTGAATATATCCAAATTTTAAAGCAAATGCATTTGGGACAAGGAAAAAGATGAAAGCATTTCATTTAATCTGGGTGACCAAATCTTTTTCCTGATTGTTAATCCAAGTTTAAATATCTATGTAAACTTTTATGAGGGGTGGGAATCTTCTCTGTGTCATTCTTGTAACTGTTAAATGCTCAGGAAGGAGAATATCCCATCATCTATTACCACCTGATAATGACTATGATCACACAGGTGATGGGAGGTAGATTGAATGAAGTTCTCTTGCTTTTGAGAGTTGTTACACTGGCAGAAGCAGTCACCAGAGGGCAAAAAAATAAACAAACAAACAAAAAAAAACAAAAAACCTGAGTTCCTCTTCAGAGAGCTAATATGGGATAATAATATCTAACAATGCATCTGAGCCATAAATAGGTCTTCTAATGTATCACTATTTGCAAGAGTCTGCATTTATGAAATAACAGTAATGAAATTGAATATTTCATGAGAAACTCACTTTTAAATGTATCATTTAATGTTTTTCTCAAATATTTAATTTCATATTTGAAAGTATTAGTTAAGCAGG